AAAATTCAATTATTTCATTAACATTTATTATTTTTGCGATACAAATTTCTCAGTGTAATTTTTATTATTTTATTAGGAAATTTTATATGGAATATAACAAAATTTTACATTCGAAAAATTTATATCCCATGTAAATTTTCGAATGCAAATTACATGGGGTATGATTTTTTTGAACGTAAATTTTCGATTGTAAAATTTCTCCCAACTTTTTTGCAAATTCGATTGTGCCCCCCTAACTTTAATTGTCTGCGTCTGCCCCTGCTTCCCCATTTCTACTTTCCCACTCTCAGTTGCTTCGTGACTTGAACAGGTCTTCAATGATGCCATAGAAGCGTTACGGATATCATACAGGAAGATGAATCCATTTTGTGTACCTTTTGCGACAACAAACATGGGTTCGGCTGTGCTCGCCATGGATCTGGTTAAATAAATTTTGTGTTCTGAGCTTAGCAACTTGTGATCTCAATAACCTATCAACCTCTCATAAGATATAAATAATTTTGTACTCCAGGGATGGATGGGCCCGAACTATTCAATATCTACTGCCTGTGCAACAAGCAACTTTTGTATACTGAATGCCGCTAACCACATTATCAGAGGTGAAGCTGTAAGTGTTTTCAGTTTCTTTTAAGCTCTAGAGTGGAGCTTCCCATTGTATGCCGGTTCTGTTTCACGTTCTTTAAAGAATCAACTGGCAATTGCCTAAATGTAAACCACCTTCTAGTTTACTGCCATTTTTAGTGATACGAGTTGGGAATTTGCAGGACATGATGCTTTGTGGTGGCTCAGATGCTGCAATCATTCCAATTGGTATCTGTTTAATTCTTAGTTTCCATATTTTTTAAAACCCACCATTCTCGGTTTCCTAATCATACCTCTTGCTTGCAGGATTGGGTGGCTTTGTTGCATGCAGAGCACTTTCACAGAGAAATAGTGATCCTACTAAAGCTTCACGTCCATGGGATACTGTAATGTTCTACATCTTTCCATGGATAATTACTAGGTTCAAGGAAACATTAAAACAGGGATGATAGACATTTTATCTGAAAATATGATGAGAATTAGAATATGAATTCTAAAATGATATGTAATTCCAGTTCACATTATAGACATATTTTGTCCTTGCCAGAGATCTTTAATCAACTGAATGGATCTTCAATGTCCAATTGCCGTGTTTCTATCTTCTAAAGTAAATTTTCAGTTAGCGAAGTGGTCTTCATATTCATAGTGGTGAAATCTGGATTCGCATGTCTGGATAATTGAATTATTTGGTGTTGAACTCAGTAAATAATTTTCTTATATAGCTTAGAATTAAGAATCTAGCACTTAAAAAAACCTATAGTTTTATGGTTGATAATGATGCAAGTAATTCCTTGATTCAGAGTAGCAATGTCCCTGTACTTAATTTTTTGATCTTCGACAGAACCGTGATGGGTTTGTTATGGGAGAAGGAGCTGGAGTATTGCTTCTGGAAGAACTTGAACACGCGAAGGTAGTCTAAAAGCACTATCAGTATAAGAACATTCTTTTCTTCTGTATTAATTTATTTCCTGGTGGCTACTAGGTTTGCATTTTCCTTCTGTATTGAATAAATGTTCTGGTGACTAATCCATTCTTCAAATATATTTCCAATCATATTTTGGATGAGCAGAAAAGGGGGGCAAATATATATGCTGAATTTCTTGGTGGAAGCTTCACTTGTGATGCTTATCACATGACAGAGCCTCATCCAGAAGGTAATATACCTTAGTTTTCTTACGCATTAGGAATTCAATTATTAGGTGAAGAAAAGTCGAGTTCTTGTTTTTTAGTTCATAGCTCTCGAGTATCTATGTCATCTATTTATTTTTCCCCATGGTTTTGTTGGAGGTTTCAAGTCTCTAGTTATTGATATTCTAATTTCTATAAATCTTTGAGGGTCAATGCCTGGTTAAAGTTCACAATATTGACATTTTAGATAAAATATGACAGCCTAGATTAAGTAGATACTCCACCCAACCTAGTTTCTTGATGAAATTAATGATTCCTTTAATCTGGTGAAATTTTCAAAGTTATGTGATTGGTTATATAGATAGTTCAAAACAAGTATATTGATGGACCAAACCTCTAGACGACAGTTGACCTAGATACACACACTTCGTATATGAATATCTGACATAGAGCTTATGACTTGTATAAAACATTTTGTGAGTACAAAATTAATTTCCTTCTCTAATGAGTTGGGCAGAATGTGTCAGTTCAGTTGGACTGAGTTTTTTGTTTTAGCATAATGCAGAAGTACTTACACTTAAACCAAGAAGGGAATATAGCCACCCCCCTCCCCCCCAAAAAAATGAAGGAAAAAAAAGGGAAAATGTACAATAGAAAAGAAAATGTACTTCAGAAGTTATTCATATTAATCATAAATCCATGGGAAGAGGTTGACATAAAATTATGTGGAACCAGGTAATTAGAAAGGATTTAATTGCGCTATACCTAGGAGAGAGTCTCGGAAGAAAAAAAATCCATGTAGCCAAGCCCTAGTAAAAGAAGGAGACAAGGCTTTGTCAAGTTCAGCTGTATAAATTGTTTATAATTTTCTAAATAAACATCATAACAACTTCTAATAATAACTTTGAGGTGGATATATTAACCTGTTAGTGATGCTTGTCAGAATATAGATCAGTATTTTTGCAATTTAACTATCATAATAAATAGATAGACCATATCAACAGAAACTTTCCTGTAAAATTTCAGTGAACATTTTATGGGTCACTACAACAGCGGTGATCTGTTTCTTAACTTTTTCATTTTAATTGTGCCTATCAACTAAGTCCTTGTTTTTTAGTGCTTATATGTTTTGAATATCATTTTTAACCACACATTCCTTAGGACACAAATCTTTTATCTACTTTTTAACCACACATTCCTTGGGATTCACTGCTTATAAGCACTTAAAAGCTTAACCTAGTAAGCACTAAGAACGGTGTTTTCATTTGATACTTTGTCTTTTGTTATTAAGTGCAGCCACTACCATAATGATTATGACAATTAACGGTGCAATATCTTCCTTTGATCTATGCGATGCATTCCTTGAGTGTAGGATGACTAATCAACTCCATGAAAATAGTGCAACAAAGAACCCATGAATCAGTGTTTTACTTACTTGACTCAAATGAAACTTTTAACTCATTCATGCCTAAAAGCAGGAACTGGCATCATTCTATGCATTGAGAAAGCTCTAGCTCAGTCAGGAGTACCGAAGGAAGATGTGAACTATATAAATGCTCATGCAACATCTACTCCAGCTGGCGATCTTAAGGAGTATCAAGCTCTTGTTCATTGTTTTGGACAGAATTCAGAGGTTTCTTAGTAAATACAAGTTTTGTGTTTCTTCTTTAATTCCTGTAGTTGCTTGGTATCATTAATTACTTATTCTTCTTGTTTGCAGTTACGAGTGAACTCCACTAAATCTATGATCGGTCACCTGTTAGGAGCAGCTGGTGCTGTGGAGGCTGTTGCTACTGTGCAGGTTCCTTAGTCAGCCTCATTTCTCTCTTCATGGCACTAGCTAATATAGCAGATATGTGTGCATTGCATCATGATGCTGTTGAATACCATAAGTTGAATGAAAACTATATTGTGCTATATATATTTGATGTTGGAAAATTTGGCTTGCTCCTGCTGAGGCTGGTAGGCTTACATTACGATATGCATAAGAGAATCAGCAGTCTTTTTCCTTTGATGCACATTTTCATCTGTACTCATTGTGGTTACTTTTAGGTCTGGTTCATTTGTCTCCATTCATGATTGGAAGACGAGAAATTCCAGTACTGGAAAGAGGAATGTAACTTCAACCCAGAAGCCTATACAAGCTCAGAGCTTCAGACCAAGGGAAAGTGGAGTAAAAATGGTAGTGTAGAACCAAATCACCTTGTTTAGCATGGAAAGGAAAGAGAGAGAGAAGTTGTGGGGTACCCTACCCCTCACTCACTTTTTCTTTCCTTCCAAATTAGAGGTTTTGGTGAGGTGAAGCATTGAAAAAATAATATTGATAAATAAGATGAAAAGAATATTAAGTATAAAAGAAATAATTTTTCGTCCCGTCAATCTCAAACCTTTTTACCCTACCCTACCTTGTACAAAACTAGGTGTAGAAAAGCATGTGTACTCCCCTGGGGAAAGCATTTCTATCTCTTAGACCTTTCTTGAACCAACTAATTTCATAGAGAACTCATCCAGTAACGGGCTATTACCATTTTAGTCAAGAATCAGTCTGCTTATGGGAGGGATTTGTACTTAGCTCCAATCTGCTAAAGCTTATCTTGTTGTCCCAGGTACTCCAGAATCCTAAGAATACCATGTACAAGTATAATTATAACGTCAAACAAGGTTAGATAATGATGCAGGTTTTCAGGATTGATTGTCATAGAATATAGGCCTCAATTACCTTCCAGGTGGCTTAATTTTGCTGGTTCCACTTGTTAATCCATGTTTATGCTTGACACATTCATTTGGAGTCCTTTAATGCTTAATAATCCTGAAGACCAGGCTAGACAATTTATTTTTGGGTGAATACATATTTTGTTATTCTCTCGTAATCTCCTCCTTACTTTTTCTCACTTATGGATGCCCTTCGCCACCATTTTACTGGAATCAGTCAAGGGTTGTTTGTAACTCAAAACATGGGTCCTTCATTAATTGTTTAAGCTCATTCTCTTAGTTCACTAATAGTATATATTTCTCACGTCTTTGATTTATTATATTTAAAGATAATATAGATTTTTCAGTCTCACTGCAAATGAGGTCTCTCTGTTCTTACTCTTTTTGTATGTTTTCCTTATCTGTGAAATATATCACCAACTTGGAACTGTGTTCTTGATTGTTGAGATGGACTTTGTATCCTTGCAGGCAATACGAACAGGCTGGGTTCATCCAAATATCAATCTTGAAAATCCAGACAATGGTGTGGTATGTTCTTTTGTGCCATTATTCCGTTGTTTCATCTGCAAAAGGTGTAGTGTTACAGCATAATATAGTGCTTTGTCTTCAATTGTAAAAAAAAAATGAGATGTTTGCTAATCTTAGAGGTTCATGTATTGTTTTTAGATCAGGAAACATTAGGATAAACTGTAATGGTTTTTGTTTGTATAACTAGTCAGATTGTCAAATCAGCCTCCATTTTTCCCTTTCAATTGGAGCAACCAATAATTGCAATCAGACCAGATAGTGCGATTCAGTTTTGAACCTTTATTGGCCTCGTAGTTTAGCTATTGTACGTATGGTTAGTATACTTGAACTGTCTACATTGCATAAATTATGTCAAACATCAATTCAGGATATAAACATGCTGGTTGGACCAAAGAAAGAAAGACTGGATATCAAGGTGGCATTGTCCAACTCATTTGGATTTGGTGGTCACAACTCATCAATCTTATTCGCTCCATACAAGTAGATCACTTTTGTGCGCTTTGAGTTGGCAAAGAATTTCTGCAGAAGGTATGTTGTATTGTTCATGTTGATTTAAAGTGTAATATATTGCAGTCATGTTTTATCATGTATCATCTTATAATCTTGTATTGTGGGGACAAAAGCAAAAACTGAACCTTCATGTACTCAATTTGGTTTTTTTTTTGGCTAACATAAGTGTCTTTTTACGTTACTGTTGATTTCGCAATTCTTCTCCGACCTTTGTTTGGTCGTGCTTTGTGAAAATTATAGTTACCTCCGTCACATAATCCAATAAATTTCCCGCCTTTGCAGTTTCCTTGGGCATTTCACGATGTTAAATCTTGTGCTCAATGAGATGATTGCTTGAGCCAAGAGGAAAGGTGCCTTGTAATGAAGTGGGAAGAACACTCGGTATTTCCTCTTGGATTGTTGTTATATCTTTCTGCCTCCCCTTGACCATGCATTGTGACCATAGGTCTTCTGCAGTGATCTAATGTGATCTCTTGAAACAACTAACCCTTCAGTTTCCAGTTAGCTGTTTCTAATGTACAATGTACTATTAAAGTGATGATTCTTGTTCTCTGATACTGAGTTTTGAGATGTATTTTACTTTACATAAATTGCATTTATATCCCAACTCTCCTATTAAATTGCTCATTCAATATTTTCAATATTATGCCTCGAGGAGGACTCACATTCACATTTCAAATTTCTATTTTAGTTGCTGGAAAATTCCAGCCGACGTTCTAATCTATCTTTTGTGTACTCTTTTATTCTTGCAATATTGTCCTCGATCACTCGGTTTTTGATGCTCGTGGTTTAGTGACTGCAGTTAAGTATTGAACCACGTGAGTTGCACATGTCATAATTTAAAGTGATAACTAGGACTTGTATAATTTTTTTAGAAGTTTCATTAATACTAAATGTATATTCACTTTTTTTCTTCGAAGTCTTCAATAACCATCTCACATGTTAAAGTTCTACCACGTGTATAATTTCATAAATGAGTGACAATAATATTTGAACTTAAAATGTAATTTTCATCATAATAGATCTATATAATACTTTACCCATGACATGTTTTCATATGATGATTCATTTGAGAACATACATTAGAGAATTCGATTGTCATTTCTAGCTTTCAGATGAATCGATTTGCTCCTTGGAGCATTGTCAGTTATCATACCAAATCGAGTCTTGAGTTTTATCTTAAAAAGTTTTATTTTTATCTTTAGCTGGTGTGACAATTTACAATTAACACTTTGATATTGTTCAAATGTCAAATTAAAACTTCAGATAACTATAGATACATAAAATGTGTGATGAAAGAGTACAAAGAACAAGGGTGGTTGTAAAATGTGTGATGAAAGAGTACAAAGAACAAGGGTGTCACGTCTCTTGGTCGTGTCACGTGTGCTTTTGGGCATTTTCAATTTTATGCAATTTTTGCGAAGCACGTCTTTGTGTAAACAACGCAATAAAATTGTACAAAATTTGTAGGGATTTGACGTTTCATCTCAAAATGTTAACCCTCAACTTCTTTTATAAATTAATTATTTAAAAAAAATTCTCACATCATCTCGACATCTTTGAAGCGTTAATCTATCTATTCATTCTTCTCAAAAAATGAATCTATCAAAGACTAAAGCTCTTCTATCGCATTAGGGGCCACTGCTTAAATGATTGCAACCACCTTCAAAGTCCACTAAAGATTTTTTGGTGCCATCGTGATTAACTAAGATTCACAGTTCACACATACGACTCTGATACCATTTGTAAAACAATTATTGTTCCATCCAAAAATGTTATCTCGTTATGCGTGAAAAATGCAAGTTTGCTAGTATGACCCACCTCTTTAGTTCTAAGCGTGCATCATTTTGTATCCAATAGGGATGCCTTTTCTTTAACATTCATCTAATGATGTCAAAACATTTTATCACTTGTAATCCAATGAGTGTGACCTACATTTCTGCAAATTACAAAGGAGATTGGGGTCACTTTCAAATTCTTTATAGTTTTCATGTGGCTTTGATTTTAATTTGTTCTTTGACTACTTTCAGATGATGCTTTAATCGAGCAAGTGGTTCTTTTGTTTACAAGCTTATGTGCCCATTGGTTTCTCTAAATATATTGTGGGCTTAAAATTATTTATTTATTTTTCCCTTTTGTAGCCTTCTATTTTTTTGGTCCTATTGCCATGATCTACGGTCGATCTCCTCAAATTTACCTTTTCACATTATTGTCGTTTCAACTTCAAGAAGTTAGGGAAGCAAAATTCAACAGGTTGACGAGGCGGAGGTTAGAGAAGAGAGATAATGATAGGCGTAGAAGCCAAGATGGAGATGTTATGGTACAAGTCAATTGGTTGGAGTTCGATCAAGAAACTGTAGAATCAGAATGATAGAACCCTTGTTGATAAAGAAGCAACCAACAAGGTATTTGAGGTTAAAATTTGGAAAGCCTATGCATGCGCGAGTCGAAATAGATTGATCTAGCATCCTAGGAGTTGTGGAGCTTGTCCCAACCTAGAGAGAAAACTACCTAAGAAGCATAGACTCAAAATTGGATAAGTCAGCACAATCTAGCGATTAACTCGTTAAATTCACATCACTCTTGTAGGTGCTAAGATCAACAATTGTTAACAATATTAGCGTGCTTTAGACTCCAATACGATAAGATGGGCACCACATATCTACGTATGAAATAATTGAGCATTTCTAATCATCAGGAGAGGTAATTGCTAACTCGAGATATCATATTCACACCTAAATATAAACTTTTTAACTGTTCCATACTCTAATTTGATAAATTTATTCCAAGTTTGGTTGATTTCATAGTGAAATCGATTACTATATCTATTTCTTTACTTCTGATTGTTACGCTCATTGATCACGATTGTAAATTTCGCAGTACTATCAAGTTCACAAAGTGGAATGATCTTCCATGTCTATCATATCTTATCTGTGCTTATACATCGATTCACAAATCCCACCACATGGTTGATGGTTTGATGGCCCCACTTAACAAAACCCTAATGACCAAATGAAAGAAATTTCTAGATTCATGATCAAAGTTGAGACTCAGTTTTGTAGCTCTTGATCAGTCATAGCATCTGTTTGGTTGTTGAGTGACATGAAAATCGAAAAAAAATCAATGACAAAAAGTGAAAATCACACAAGGCAACATGCATGCAACTTGTTGAAGGGACCATTCAAAAAGCGAAAGAAGTTAGATGTGTTGGCCCTACTTACATGTGGGCTCGTCTACAAATCCTATGTCTGATTTCATAAATGTCGCGTTTTTCTAGTAAAGTAGACATTCGTTCTCGTTGACCACGACATGTAGGAACCAAATTATCTTTTAACCTTGTTCAAATAGGCTCATGGACAAATTTACGTTCAATAATTTTAGGGACTTTCACTTCCACACATCTTCGCTCGTAAGCACTTCCCAACGTGTCGACGCACGCCCTAGCATAGCCTGTCCTGTAGGAACATCCACAGTGCACTTGACATATTATAAACACACCTATATACTTCCCACACAATTTTCTTAACAAAGATCTATTAATTTGACCTTAAAAGAGAAAGTTAGCGACGTTCGAAAAAGACGAGCATTCGAACAATATTCATCACTTTGGACATTGTAAAGGCAAAGAATGAGTGAGATTTCTATTCGAGGTAAGATCAAAGTTGAAGGTGGTTAAGTCTCTCATAATTGAGACAAATGATTAGAGATTCTCAATGACATTTGCTAAGTTTAAAATTAGTTAAAAAAAACATTTTTTTTTTCAACTTTTGTTATAAAATGTGTTCTTAAATTCTTTATAAGGATAAGGTTGCAACTTACCTCTCGATGGTAAAATATTAAAATGGGAACATGTCACGTTAGACAGTGCATGGTTGGGTGGCGTCTAGCCATTTTCCAATTTGACTTATTGTCCAAGCACTAAAAGGCCCTTTGAGATATCATTATTCTTAACCAAATTTGTGTTGGTACCAACTATAATTTATATCATTTAAATTTTGTTTTTTCAAGATTTTCTAATAAACTTTCCCATCTACCTTACCATAAACCATGGTAGAGTGGAGTACGAGAAATTTCACAACAAAACCGCGAGAAAAATAAAATGTCCCTTATAATGACCTGCAGTCGGCACCTCGAACACTGTTTAAGTCGAGTTAAGTAAAGTTTGACTACGTATTCTCAACAACAATTTTCATACATAAAAAGGTTTCAGTACCATCGACCGTTCAATTCAGGTAGAAATGAAATGTTCTTGACGGAACCCGTTACAAATAATCAGGCACCAAACACTTTTAATTAATAATGTCTTCTTCTTGGCAACATTGTTATAAATTAAGTTTCTTAAAGTGTCACTTAACAACCTAATCATTAGTATAAGCAACTTCACCAAATATATATATTTAATATGATAAATATGTAGGGGAAATGTCTATAGTGTTCATACAAATTATTTTTGACTTGAGTCATGAATGAGGATATTTTATTATAATTTCATATTAATTTTACGAGCATCTTTAAAGAAAGGAACAGAGATAGAATCGAACTGATTCCCGAAATTTCTTTCTGGATATTCATCAATGTCCCGATTATTCAAAGAACGTGAGAATCAGTACGTTATGTTGGACTGAATTTATAAGAACCAAAGAAATGAAATATTTATTATTTATCATATTTAATCTTACCTAGCTACCAAATATTTCTGAAATGTAATATTGTTTCACCATATTGTGCTTTATGATGATTTTTTTTAATTGTATTTTAATTTACTGAGGTCAAGCTTCATTTCTCCAATACTAAGGTTCATTTCGCAAGATTTTTAAAAAATCAAAAATTGCTTCTAAAATTAAGAAGCTATTTTTTTAACTCGTTTGAAAAATATTTTGGAAGTATTGTATCCGACTACTAGGTTTTTCAGGAAGTTGTTCTAAAAGAAACAAAAATCGTGACAAACGAACTCTTTAACTATGATGCACTTTCATTTTAATTTTATTTTTGAAAATCTAGTTATTTTTAAATTTTAACTACGAGACCACTCTAAACACCATCCCAAACTAAAAATAAAATAAAAAAATTATCCTTTGGGAGTTATTATTAATTGCTAGATATGTGAGCGATAGCAATGAGTCAACACAAAGCATAAAATTAAAGTAATTGATATATTTCATATTATAGAAATAAAATAATATTTTTTATTGCGACATCTTCCATATCATACCTTGTTTTGTTTGTTAAAAATTATTTTTTTTTTTATAAAAGTTGTGAATTTCATGAAATATATTATTAGTTCCCTTTGATTTAAATTTTTATTATTTTTTTAGTTAAATCAAACATGGACTGATGGACGTAATTTATTGTGAATGCATTCCTTTTCTTCCATAAAATGACCTTAAGCCCCTGTTTGGTTTAGATAAAAATTTGATTTTTTTTATTAGATTTTGATAAAAAAATTGATTAGATGTGGAGTTGAAAAGATAATAAAAGTTGTGAATCCCAAAAAAATGGGTATTCGTTTGTTGAAAAATAAATTTTAAGAAACGATGGCCAAACAGGGACTAAGAGTGACATACGACATAAACCATTGTAATGGGAAGAAAAAAAGATAAACTATTTTTAAGTAATTATTTTTTATCATCAAGAATATTTAGGTAATACACTATTTTCTTAGTCTTAAGGGAAAAAAATTACTTTTTTCCAAAATAATTATAAGTTCAATGTCAAAATAAATTAAACTCCCTTGTACAGATCCTTCAAGTCAATCTTTTACATACATGCATACATAAAATCCTTATAAGCAACACAAGTAAATAAAACTACTTTCAAGACCCATTAATTTCAGCTATACCTTAATTAAGATTAGCCAGCTAAAATGGGTTAATCAAACACTCAAAAGTCACAATTCAATGGGAACGAACGAACAACTGTTACTTTTCTCTCTTAATTTTGTTTTTCTTCTACACCGCTCTTAATCACTCAGTGAAAAAGGAAAATTCTACAGCAATATATACCCATTCACCATGCAGTAAGTTTTTCAGCATGCATAGAACTCCGCCAACTCCTCCAATGACTCCGGCTGAGGATCACCATTTTCAAGCATCCACAGCAAGTGTTCAAACATCACAACTTCGCATCCAACGGTGATCGTGTTCTCTCCGTCTCCGGAATATTCCACGAGTTCCCGGAACAGCGGATTGTCCAACACGTCGGAAGTGATCATATAGCGCCGCCGTGACTTGCCGACGTAGACAGGGTGGAGATTTTTGGCGTTGGAGTAGTCATCGTCAGAGAAGTTGTTTGTGGCAACAATAGAGCTGCTGCTGGCCCGGTTAAGCTTGAAAGACTGCATTTTCCTTAGCACTGATTTCAGTTTTGTGAGTTTGCCTCCCTTTGCCATTTTTTCGTGGGATTGAGAGGAGAATATGTATAGAGAAAAAGAGGATTTTGGGTTTTCGGGAAGGTTGGGAAAGAAGAAGGAAGGTTCTTTATTTAAAGAGAGTTGGAGTGGGTGGGGTGGGGGTTGGGTGTGTGAGTATGAGTGTGACTGTGACTGTGACTGTGACTGTGTGTGAAATTGGACAGTGTTGTATTGAAATGCAGTGAACGGTTATACAGTTGTAAAGAGGTGGAAGATAGGAGCCGTTTGATTAGATCAAAACCATTTGCGGTTTACTGCAATTTGTATGCTAGTATATTGACGTGTTTGTCCTTGTCACTTGTAGACAGATTATAGACAATTGATTTCACTTGAGGGTAAATATGTATATCTTCCTGTCCAATAATTGCATGTTTATTACCGTATGGGGTTGGAGTTATTTTCTTACTGTAACTCACTCAAGTTTTTAACTCCTATATTAATGGTCACTCGGTTAACGATAAATCCTACGTGGTGCTGATAAATGACTAACGTTGTCACCAAATTACGTTATTTATTACGTCGAGTCAACAAAATTAGGGAGTTAGAATTGAGAATTAAATACGTTTATGAAAAAAGTAATGTGACTCGAGAGTTTTAGATAGATTTTTAGACTTAAATCGTACGATAAATTCATTCATTTTTTTTTTCTAGGAATGATTTTTGCTTATTTGGATTAATAATAATGTTGCTTCGTAACATATTGACACTTATCGGCGCCAGGATTTAACTTTAATACTTATTATCTAGTGACCATCAGCGTGTAACGTGTAAGAACTTAAGTGACTTACAATAAAAAAAAATAACTTCAGTGATCATCGGCACAAGTACTCAAAACTTCAGTGGTCATTAGCGTAATTAACTCGGGGAGTTATATTCATACCATACTTTAATAAATGCACTACATTATAATTGCATTAAATGACATTGTTGCGCATTTTTTCCTTTTCATAAATGTAAATTGTCCATCCATAGGGACAAAATTCACAAGACATGAACAAGAGGTCTAGTTTTACTTAAAAGCAGAAACAAATAGTTAAGAGTCCGTTCTCTTTGCTCTTTTTAGGTAATTTTCAATTTTCATTTTTCGAAAATATTGAAAATACGTTTACTTATCTATTTTCAAAAATGAGTTAAAAATTTACAAATAAAACGAAAAGGCCAAAAAAAAGTCATTTTGGCTGTTATCAGTTAAAACAACTTCATTTTTTTATTTTAAAAAAAATTCAAAAAGACAAAAAGAACGTGTTTTCGACAATCTCAAAATGGACACTCAAAACACAAAACACAAAATGAATTCAAAACTCAAAACTGAAAATCGAAACATGAAGAGAACAACCCCTTAGTTCAAAATGTTTTGCAGAATCTACATATTATTTTCAAAAAAAAAAAAAAAAAGGGAACGAAATCTACTACAAAAGGTATTATTTTGCTTTTTAAAATTTTTAACTTTCTTCTAGCACAATTCTTTACATTATGTCCCAAAATTTCTTAAAATACGATGGTTTTCATCATTATAAATATTATCGAAATCTAATTGTTTCACATGTATGCATACCATTTTTTAGTAACTCGAGACAACATACATCAATGTTATAAGAATCGAACTGAATTTGTTGGTTCGATCGGAAAAAAAAAATCATTTAGATTACATGTAAAAAACCAAAAAAATGTAAAACTTTTTAAAAAAATTTGGAACAGGCTGTTCGCCTGGAGATCGGTTGAACCAAGACGAGCTTTACAGATTTAATTTTTGAAAAAGAGGAAAAAAATAATTATTTATGATTGTCTGGATTAAAAGTTCAACCTTTTCAATTAATAAATGAATATTATATAATTCGAAACAATAGCTCCAGTTCTCTAAACTTGCCACGTTACTCTGAGACTGCAATTAATTAACTTAGCCAGCATTTGACCTAATTGCGATTAATTAAAAATTCATTAATTTATTAGTAAGTCTAATCCAAATTGTAACAATCAATTTCGGTGCTTGGGACCCACGTCCAGCTCTAATGGCACTCGACCTTTTTTTTTAATTTCAAAAGAATTAGAAAAAATAAACTTAATTTAATTTAATTAACAATGTCAATGTCTTCGTCCATTAGCCACTCCAGAATCAATCAACTACAAATAAAAAATAAAAGGTTGAACCCTAACTTTGAGGACCCCACCGTCCTGTCCCTAAAACATTGTGGAGGAAGTAAATCGCGAGATGTGCTTCAGCGGGTTATGGTACAAGAGCTGTCATACTGGTGTCCACAACGAGTTTAATTTCATACCTTGTAAGAGGCAGGAATCGAACCTTCACACTGCGGCTATTAGCTCAACTGAAATTATCTCACTCATGTTCTTTGCATCACAAAAAATAAATTAAAGTAAAAGTTTTCTTTCATTTCTCAAAGAGTTTTGTTTTGAAAGCGACAAGACATGTGCAAGGAAGTTTGTCGTGATTTGAACATTCATATTTTAATCAAGGATTAGGAATTACAAATAATAAAATAATAAAAATAATAAATATTTATTTTTTTTGTTTGGCATATAGCAATTAACATCCGTGTGGTATCATTTGTTAGTTCAATCATTTAGATTAGACGGGTTAAGCTGTAGAGTTATATGATAATAATTTTTAAGTCGAGTTTGTTCGATGAAATTCAACAACCTTTTTTGTGGTCGACTTTATAAGAAGTGGGTTTTCATAGTCATAATCCTTTGTCGTAATAGGTACTAGTAAATGTTCTGGTCGGGCGGGTCACCTGTCCCAACGCATATTTTTTAAAATTGTTTATGTGTTTTCTATCTGAAAAATTGAGAATATGGAGTAGACGATATATTTAGCGATGAATATATCATTACGATGTAGGAGCGGCTTGAGCCCACTTTACATCAATTGCATAGAGAATTGAATCTCCCTAATACTCAAAAGCTTCCTTGAATAGGACAAGGTAATTAGAATATTGGATTAATTACATGAAATTTTTGAATAATTGCTTTCATAGTCACTAAAGTTCTTTTCTTATCAGAATAGTCACTTAACCTTTTAACTCTATACTAAGGGTCAGTGGGTAAGAAAAAAAAAATCAATTCTAAATCCCACGTGGCACCACTAAATGTCGATTTGTTACCAAACGACGTTGGAATTACGCCAAGTCAACAAAATTGAGGAGTTAGGTACTGATGATTAATCACAATTCAGAGGAGAAAATGTAGCGAGATTTTATTTCAAAATATTTATTTTTCCTTAAATCATGTGGCAAACCACATTTTTTAGAAACAACGGTTTGACTCGACATAACACTCAATGGTAACACAATGACACTTAATGGTGTCACCTTGGATTTAATGATATTTTTTTTATCGAATGACCATTACTGTAACAATTAAAAACTCGAGTGACTATTATCATAAGAAAATAAATTAAATGTCCATTTGCATAACAATTCAATATTTCAGTGACCTCTGACGTATTTAACCCTTAGAATATTACATGTAATTCATATTAAAATTTTATATGAAGAAAAATTTCACCTTTCTCAATCAATGCAGATAAATGCATGATTAATTAAAGGTAATCTTGTTACTGATGGGAGTTGTGAATCAAATATAAATTCTGCTGTTGGATTTAGATTGATATAACCTTAATTCCTTGGAAGCTTTCCAACAACTAGCCAACGAACAAATGGTGGGTGCTTTTGATCAATGGCAAACTGCGGTTAGAATGATGTTTCTTTCAATGAATAATGATGATGGGCAAGAACAAGTCCAAACAATTATTTTCAATAAACTTCAACAAGAGGCCATTTGGCGCAAATGGAATGATGTTAACCACGCAACACGTCCATTTGCGAATAGTCAGAGAAGAAAATATCGTTGTCCAGTTTGCAGATGTACAAATTGAATAATCATCGTTAAGAGATATAAGATCAAGATCATTACAAGATTCCAGGGCAAATCTTTCCCAACTTGAAGAGAATGCTTGATTTCCTGAATTTAAGTATTTTATTTATCTACTTTTGGCATTTTAATTATTTAGGACTTGAAGGACTGATGGTGCAATTTTTATTATGTTTGAGTTATGATTTTAGGCCATGTTTGATAAGCCTAATTTTTCATGGAACTTGGAAAAGAATTTCCTTCTTCTTGGATTTGGCATGTTTGATAGACACAATTTTCTAGGGTAAAAGTTTTCCAAGGTCCTCCTCCACGCGCCAGTTTTCTGCTTTTTTAGTGAAAAGGTTTTCCTACATTTTTGGTGGGAAAATTGTTTCCAAGGTAGCTGACCTTTTTTTTTATTTTATTATTATTTATTTAGCAATGGAAATAAATGTCATAGTCAATTGTAAAAAAAAAAAATCACTTTAATGGACAATTTTCATGTAAAATAAAGTCAAATGAATACTAAACTTTGATTTAAAAAAATGATTTTTTAGGAAACAATTTTGTTTTTCGTTTTTTTTTTTAACTTTTTGATAATGGAAACAAATTTTATAACCAATTGTGAAAAAAATATCACTTAAATGTACAATTTCTATGTAAAACAAAGCCAAACGAATATAAAATTTAAAAAATTTTCGAGTGAAAAACTATATCAATCAAACACACTTGAAATCATTTTCCTTGTAAAACATTTTGTAGGCAAATCTTTTCCCTGTAAAACATTTTCTTTCTACCAATTTTCCACTCTTGCAATCAAACGCACCCTTACAGTGTAATTATGCAATCCTTGGAACTATATAGAAATGCTGACATTAAGCTTGAAGTCGTTTAAGCAAGAAACAAGAGTAGTCAAGAGGAACTTATATACAAATACACACAGGTAAAGACAATATCGATTGATTCAAAGGAGGTCCAAGGAGTAAGCTCTCTTGTTGACTATCTATAGTGCACTGGATTGGTTTGATCATAATTTTATTAAGTAAACTGATTGCACGTTGTTGGCGCACACAAGAATTTACCATTCATCACCTTTGTTAGATCAAAGTGTA